CACACTGATGCTAGATAACTTTTTGAAAATTATATACTTCAATTAAAAAAAAAATATATATAATTCTACGATTTTATGATACAGCTGAGTGGTTTTTGAGATATTAGTGAGTTATATGTCCAGAATGCACTTGTAAGAAAAGGACACTGTATTTCAGTCTTTACCACTTCAAGTTCCGTTTCAATATTTTATGCACATGATCGCCTTTTCAAAAGTACTAATCATGCAAATAGACCATTAAAAGAGTAAGGTGCACATTTTGTGAATTTGAAGACTGTCTTAATACAGTTTTCTTGTTATAAAGCAGTAAAATAACCAGGAATTGGTTATTTGAAACTATCTGAAACTATTCTTTGAGGACTGTAGTGAGTGAGTGCGCCTCAGATCAGTCTTTTTCATTTTATTTGGCCATGAGGTACTTCAGGATATTTCAAACAGTTCTATAACTGCATTTATTGCCTATTTTGAAGGCTTACTTTTAAAGCCTGTAAAAATTTTTAAAATTCACATTTGAGCCTAATAATACATTGTTGAGAAGCTGGTTTAATGCACATAGGAAACAAAACTAGAAAAAGAAAATTTACTTAAAATATAACTTAAACTTTTCAATATACAGCTAGGCAAAGCGAGAATGAAAGAAAATAAAAATGCACCTTCGGTATCCACTAAGATGAAACATCTGAATTTATGTGAGTTTCCTGATTACAATAACACATACAAAATTAAATACATAAATATTAATTTTATGTATCACAGAAGATGAAGACAATGACAAAAACAATGTTTACATTTATGGTTGACTCATTAGTGTTTTATTATGTGAAACACTAGGAGGCATCAGTTGGGTAAAAAAAGGAGTTCCTTTGAAAAATGGTAAGAAATTATCATAGGAGTTATCAGCTTGCAAGTTTCATACTTCCAAATGTTAAAGGCTGTACATTATAACTAAATTAGGCAAATAGGCAAAACTCTATTCTCACTGATAAATGACATAATAATATAAGGACAACACTTAATTTCTTAACTATTTTTAAACCAGACTACTATGTTCACATATGCAACACAAAGAATAGTTTTACAACATGTTACATTCTTAAAAATAACAGAATAAAATGACTTATTTGTTCTTCAATATTATAATTTTTGATAAATCTTCTTGTAAGCTCTTAATAGGGTAAGTGCAGTGAATTTAGTATAGTTCTAGGCACTTTTTAGTCCCTAGGCATTTTTAAGTCCTAGGCACTTTTAAGAACTTTTAATTGCTCTAGACAATATCATCTAGACAAAAATATTTTTTAAAAAAAACCCAGAGTACTAATCTACTACATTTTAATTATATTTCCCAAAAGCGGTGTATTAAACAGCATTTATAAAATTTGCGTAACAATGCCACAAGTGGCTCTACCTTTCACAAAATAGTCATGCAAAATCAGTAATGTCAAAACTGAGTTTTTGTTGCTTTGAGTTGCATTTAACAATTACTAAGCAACAGAGTTATAGTTATACTCATAAAATAATCGATTAAAATTGAAGTGTGCCTTGCCATGTTGCAGCAATCAGCTTTTATCTCTGCCCAATCACAATGACATGTGAACTGCCTAATCCTTCTTTTGTAAGGCACATAAGACTTTGTTGTCACTGTTGGTTTTGTGAATCGCCTCTATAAGCTGGTCTGATTTCCTAAAGATGACAGATTCCAGTGAATAGACAAGCTCTCCTGCACTGCAGTCAATGAGACAGTGACATTAAAGTGGAGGACTGAAGACACTTGCTTTTAATCACCTGTCCACATGCAGCATTGACCATCAGTTCTGAGAAAATGACTTTAAAGTTGGTCAGAGGACCCGAACAATTACTTTTAAAAATAGAAAATTAAGAAATTCAATTTTTCAATTTTTTACTTGCACCATCAGTTGTTTTGCTGACTCTGATCTTCTAAGCCCATTTTGTTTCTGCAATAGGTTGCAAAATTGTATTTTCAACCTTTTCAAATACCAGAATTCTAACCCTACTCTTAAACTTGAAGTTTTCTAGCTGTTGAGATTTACATATATAATTTTTATGTATTTTATATCCAAGTTACTATAGAGCCTAAATGAGAACATAGCAAAATCTCTCTGCTGATATCATAAAGCAAAATTTTAAAACTTAAAATACATCACAAATATAAATGTTCTGGTTATTATTCAAAATGCTGGAGCAAGGACTATAAAATCCTTGAAAATACATAGTACCTTATGTAGGTTCATCTTCATCATTAGTGTTTTCAAAAGAGTATCAGCACTTGATTCTTTGATAAATTATCATGCAATGTAGAGCAGTGATGTCAAACAGGTAAAAATGAAGCCTATGTATCAAATGCTTTTTCTTTCAAGTAACTAATAGCATTTAATGACTTCTTGCTCAATGAGATATAGAAATATCTTTAGCTGCCTCTGAAGATGAACTAAACTATTCCGGTTAACAATAAATTAACCTGTTACAGAGAAGTAAAATTAAAAGAAAATAAGGTCGCAAAAGTATTCTATTAAAAACTCCTGCTCAGTTCCTAAGTTTCTATGTAATTACATTTAACTACTGAATTGTGAGTTATCAAAACCTCTCTTAGGCAAACATTTGGGAAAAGCTTCAGAAAGCTTCATTCCTCTTTGTCAATAATATTTTAGGTGTTTTAAAAACAGAACCATGTAAGAGTGGTAGGTAGCTCTGGTTTTGAATATACATGTGGCAGGTAGATGAATTGTTTAAAAAAAGTAAGAAAAATTTGCTGATCCCATATTAGAAAAAAAAATCACAGTAAGAAAGTATTTGTCGGAATTTTCTTCTGATGCTCCAAAACTAGCAGCTCAGAAATATACTACTCTAAAAGACTTCTCTCAAAGACTATTCATCATTTAGTGCCAATTTCTATAAGGCTCTTAAACTTAAGTTTCCTTTTTCTTGGTCAATTAATCTTGAGAGGATACAGACAGTATCTGATCCTTGCATTCTTTTAAAGGACATTGAAAGTGACATTCTTTACATCCCTGTCCTGTGAGAGCTTTGGGACAGGCAAGAGGTTTAGGTCTCCTTGGGCCTGATCCTGTAAATCATTATCCCTGTGACTTGCTCATTTTCACACAAGAAAAGTGTTGACAGTGGGACTAGTTTTGTAGGAACTGCTTGCATGAAAGAAGGTTTCCATGTTCAGGTCCCAGAACTATCTTTTCATACTAGCTATGTAGGGCATACTGGCAAAAATATATATGAACAAGTTTTTAAAATAAAAAACTTGTGCGTCGTACGTGTGTGACAAGGAACATAAACACCCTGAATTCAGGGCCACTGTCTTAAGTTCTTCTTCAGGGAATTTTTCTATCACTTCCAAAGGAACTCAAGCATGATCAGAGACTTCAGTGTTAGACACAGTATGAATTATGCAGTCTTTGGTATAGAAAGAATAATATAATAGGTATTTTAAGAAAACTGATAAAGTAAGAAAGTTTTGCAGGTTCTTTGAATTCATGTAAGGTACCTGAAATCAGGTAACAAAAGTAGTTTACAAAATAACAATTCCCCAAAAGTACCCATTTGTCAGATCATTTAAACTGGAAATCAGTATGTATGTACACAGCCTCAAATACAGAGGCTAGTACTCGTTCACAGGTGGTAATATTTTCATGCCCTGCCAAGCCTCTAGGGTTTAGTTATTATACTCCATATAAACATCTTTATTCTTCAACCACAATAGCCAGGAAAGTGCGAATGAATGAAATCTAGTCACAGTTGCATCTAATATAATTTATCGTTCATCTTGTAGTTATTTTAAAGTACAGATATGAAGCTAGGGCATTTGCTATTAAACTGATCGCCACATATGTGCTAGGAAAATTTTGTGTCAAAGCAATTCTTTTCTGATCACCAGTAAAATACTGGTGAAGTGCCTTTTTCTGCTCAATTCTCATATCTTTAGTCTTAAATTGTGTATTACGGTATTTATTTAATATGAGAATGCAGGTATTTGGTAATAATAACCATTATATACAATAAAGAAAATAGAACTTTTCTGTAAAACACAATGTCTAGGTATCCACAATGATTCATTAAGTTTTGTTTTGCAATGTGCTGCTTTCCTCTTTTTTTTTTTTTTTTGAGAAAGGGACTTATTAGTTTGTCTTTATATTTGTTTTGTTTTTCAGGCTGACAGAAGGTCACACTAAGTTTTATGGTAAACACGAAGTATTACAGTTACATAATGCACCAATAGTCTTATAAGTCTATCATTTACATTAAACTTTATCTTAGCCTGTATGCAACTGTACTGCAACTACACCAGCCAGTTCTGTAAGGCTGATTAGCTCTACTCCTTTGTGTCAACAAATGTAAAGATTACTCAAAGTACTGCATAAAGACCAAAGCATACTATTGCAAAAGAGGTTTGCAGTCCATGACTTAAATTCCCACATCAGTGCAAGGGGTCTTTCCATCACAAATGTAAGTATTCAAGTGAAAGATGCATAAAGTTAAACACTTGCAAGCACGCACTACCTAAACTCAAGAACAGAAGAGCCTGTGATAAAACGAAGTTTAAGAACATTTCACTCAAACTGGATCCTTAGTTTGATAAATCAGAGTGCATGCACTACAAGGTCATAGCTTTTAGTGAACTATTTAAATCAAATAGGCTTTTAGTGAACTATTTAAATCAAATAAGATTCCAACACTTCAATATCAAGCACACAAATAATGAAAACTAACTTCATCAAAGTTTAAACACTTATGACACTGATACAGACAAGTCAGCAATAATTTACTAGATATTGATTTAACTATGTTATTTGTCTAACAAGTTACTGTTAAGCAACTGCGCAATTATACATTTAAAACGTCTGCAAGCAACCTCAATCCCAGTCCACATAAAATGACTGATACATTTTTCAAACGCAATAGGAAATGTACCTAGGACTTTTGTACCATGCCCACTATATTTTATTCCAATGCTGAATTTCACACGTACTTACATTATAAAAATTTAGCTGTTTGGATGATCAGACTAGTCCTTCAGATATTTTCCTTTTATAGGAAAAAGAAAAAATCCCTTTACTTCTTCCAGCCTTAAATATTCACCACCTGGTTCAACATGCAGCCGCCTTGAATCACACACACAACCTTCAAAGTCAATCCAATAAGCAGCCAGAAAGATGCCTGGTGTATCTGTGTGTGTGTGTGCGCGTGTGCGCGTGTGTGCAGCGTGGAGGAGGAGAAAGTGGCTGAGCTGCTGGTCGGATTAAAAGTAACCGGACTCGTCCTGAGATCGTCCAGGAAGGAAGTGACAGCAGGCGAATGGGAAAAGGCGAACAGCTCACAGCCTTTGTAACATCGCGGACGGGAAGGGGGAGGCGAGAAAGGATTCAAACTACACGCCTGATGAAGTGTCCTTTTCTGCTTCGCTCTCTCTTCCTCCCTTTTCTTCTCCTTCTCTGTGTCTCTATTTCTCTCCCTCTCCCACAATCCCAAACGAATGACACTCTCCTCCCGAGCTGGAGAAATAATCAGTTTCACTCTTGCAAAAAGGGGGCGGGATCAGATCCCTAAAGCGTTTTAATAAAACAAACATAGAGCAGCAGCAGCGGCAGCAGCTCCTTGCCCCTCTAGTCTAAACTAGATTGATAAATTGCTCCACTACACTACTTTAATTATGTATATGGAATGCAGAATAAATCACCGAGCATCAGCACCTCAATCAAGCACTTTTTAAATGATAATTGCATCTTGGGTGAATCAATCTTTCCATTCCTGACATTTTGCTAATTTTAGTTCTACGGTGGGGGTAATGGCATATGCCACACGCAAACCTAATGACAATCCTTTATTATACCGAGCGAAGAAAAGGCGGCGACCCAGTGCGCGTTTCCCCCCTCCTGGGGACGGTAGCGCAGAAAGCGGAGGGCGCGCAGGGCAGGGCAGGGGGCAGGGCAGGGCAGCCGCGGGCCAGACCGCGCACCGCCCGGAGCAGCACATCCGCGGCGGGGCCGCCCGGGGGCCGCGGCGGTGGCCGAGCCCGCCCGCCCGCCCGCCGAGCCAGTGGGGCAGAGGGGCTTCGAGCCGTCCCTGCGAGTCGCCACCCCAGTGTGCCGGCGACGGCACCTCTGGAGCGGCTTCGCCCCCGGCGGGCGGGCCCGGCGCCAGGAGGGGGCACAGCCGGCGCGCGGCCGCCTGGCGGCCTGGAGGTCGCCGGCCTTTGCGCCGCCCCCGGAGCGCAGCGGTGCTGCGGCCCCTCGGCCCTCCCCTCCTTTTTCACAGACCTGCCGCCCAGCCCCTCGCACCTTGGCCGGGCTCCCCCTCCCGAGCCCTTCGCTCGCTGAGCAGCCCAACTTCCCCAACTCATGCCGCTCGGCGTCCCGACGCGTGGGGAGCGGTCCCGGGGCAGTGCCGGCGCAGCGGCCCTTTCTCGACGGGGAGCACCGACCGGATCCCGGCCCGCTCGCCTTCTTGCGCGGGTCCTGGCCACGGCCGGCTGCTGGAGACGATCTCGTGTCAGACTTACCCGCAGAAATGCAGCACTGGCAGCACGCTGTGTGAGAGGACAGGGCTTTTTTTTTTTTTTTTTTTTTTTTTGTCTTTCTCTTTTTTTTTTTTTTTTTAATAGGTTCATTTACTTCTAAAACCGGACTGAAAGGACTGCACTGTATAGGAGCTTGAATCCAGATTAAGCACATGGGGTAATTTGTGAGTAAAACTGGACCTTGCAGATACTTGTTTTAATTTCCATGCAGATAGCCAACTTTTACAATCCTCTGAGAGCAGCAGGGGAGTTTGTAAAGGCACAGACCATTATTTTTATGATAGATTAAGGTACTGCAAATAGGAACAGCACACATGATAAACCCAAATGACTGAATTCAAACACAGTGATAAATATATATTTGGTTTATTTTAATACAGGTCTTGCAGTCTTTTCCCCTATAAACATCTCATTGGGCCACTGACCTACTTCCAAAATATTTGACAGTGAATAAATACCTTTTCAGTACAACTATACTTATTAAAACATGGATGCTCAAAGCATGGTCAGAGCAAAACAAAGCTCAGGCAGCTCTAACAAGCACCCTGCAATTGCTCTAAACGCAGATCCCTAGAGAATACTGCGGATCTCATCATGCCCTGCTTCGTCTGGGTGAGAGTGCACAACTCTCCATGGGCAGGCAGTGACACGCTACAGATGCACCCACACCAACAAAGATAGTGATACTGATGTGCCCAGAACCTACAGGCAGCCAGACGCGAGCCAAGCACATTGTACATGGTCGTGAGAGGCACATACGCTCTGCAGTGGCAGCAGCAGAGCCCAAAAAACACTGGGGAGAAATACTTTCTCAGCCTCTGGTCTGGAGGGAAGCACAGCAGGAAAGAAACGCAGAACAGTTACATGGGCTGTACCTTTGCTATGCCTCTTCTGCAGGCAATTTTGGTCTCCCAGCGCGGCTTCCAACTATCCAGTAATATTTGTATATTCTTAGTGGCAAAAATAGAAAACTCTTTTAAGACTTCACACTTTTTGCTCTAATTGAAAATGACTGTCATCTGTTTTATTTTGTGCAGGATGTGTAAGTTTTCTGGTTTCTGGTTAGTTGATAACACAGCCCTTCGATTGGCAGCACAGAAGACAAGCACTGTCATATTCTGAAAGTAATTATTAGAGTAAGCAAGTATTTCAGAAAATCAAAGTATAGAGCAGCTTGGAACATCAACTACACCTCCATGTGGGCACTTGTGGCCTAATCTTTATATAGCTGTGACCTTCACATACTGGAGCACCTTAAAGCCATGCCAAGTTTTTGTCACGAGTACAATTTATCAAGCCCATGTAAAAGACTCCTCGATTTTTAAAACAGGGTTCAGACGCTAGATGGACAAACAAACGGGAGGGATCAGGCTTTCTCACTCATCTCAGGGTTAGGTAAGGCATGAATTTATGCAGTATCATTTGAAGTGTTTAGGATTTTTTTTTCCTCTCATTTGTTGCATTTCATTTAAAAATCTGGGATAATTTCAAGCAGTGAAAAACCTTTGTTCTGGTGTATGCACTTCTACTGATGCTCCACAAATGCACCATTTTCAAATTTCTGGCATGAGACTTAAATCTGCCCTTTTCTGCTGTCCACAGTTCATGTGTAGGACTGCTGACAAAATTATTTTTTCTCAATCCACCACCTGAGGCACGCAGTGTTTTAAATGATGAGACATCAATCAAAGTGTAATAGTTATAGAATAAGATCTCCAAAGCTTTATCAAAGAGGGTATCCAAGCATCTCTTTCCCTTACAAGTGTGATTATCTCAAGGTAACATTTCCTTTGAAGGTGATTATCAAAGTCCGTTTTTGTTCTTTTGAGGATGCAGAACATATCCTTCCCTAAGGAGACATGAAATTGCCAGCTTACATCCTTTAATGGCGTTTAAACCAAAAAGCATTGAGGTTACTACGAAATGATCCACCTCCTTTGCATCTTAACCCTGGGGTGGCTTGGTTTCTATTTTCTGTTTAAAGTTCTGCTCAACCCCACTCCATTCCATGCCTTGCTCTCTTCCACCACCTCCCTATTTGTTAGAGCAACACAGTATAACTCTTCTTCCCATGTCTGGCTGCTTTTAAACTTGGCCCATGCTGGGTGCAGCGCTTGAAGTGAGCTTTACAAAATTATTTTAAAGTGAGCTGGGGTGGTTGCCACAGCAACCCACCTTGAGAGAAATACAGGCTATAGATTAATCTACCCCACATGATTATTCAACAGTACTGTATTTATTCTTCATTCATTCAGAATATTCCCTCAATCCATATGCTTTCATAATGAACAGAAAGATATAAACTCAGATAATTTCAAAGATAATAGGATATATATTCCAGGAGCACAATTTAAATGCTTTGAAAACCACTGCAAAGAAACAACATGCACATGATTCTTTGCAAAATCATTTAATTGCAAAAAAATATCTGCAAGGTAGGCACAGCTGACATATTAACTTTAAATGAATTGGCATGTGATTACTAAAATGGTGTTATATACATCAACCAATGATTACAGAAAGCCTTTGTCACAGGAGTACCTGTAAGTACATAACACAGTAGAGTTTTGCTCTCCAGGTTTTGCTTTTAACATAAATCTCAAAATAATAAATAGTACTTTGTAATATAAATGCAATAAATATTAAACACTCACCACATACACCCTCTTTATTGTCAAAATCATCCACCTCCAATGCTTTACTTAATCTTTCCCATAGTAGTTACTTCAGAGTTTACACTTCTTGTTCGGCACCTTGGATGTTTAAAAGCAAAAAGTAGTATATTATTAAAATGCAAACCTATAATACTTAAATATACTTAAGGAGATTTATGAAGCAATTTCTATAAAAAAAATACGAGTCTTTACTGATGTGCACTTAGGCCTAAGTTACTTGTAAGTAACTTGGCTGTTATAAACTCCAACTTGATGTTTTCAGAAGCTGTTATAAACTCCATCCTACCTTAGGGATGCTACACTATCAATAAAATTACAAAACTATTGATTGCAGCCTCCACCCTCCAGTTGGCATTTATGATTTTACATGCATTTTGGAAAACACGGCCATCTTGTTGTTTAATAAATGCCTGTTTGAAAGTCCAGGCCAAAATGTAAAGTTAAAGCTTGGTATATTAATTTCTTCCTTTTAACTGCAGGTGTATATGGTGCCAACACTCAGGCATGTATCTCCTCGGGTCTGCCTCAAGGAAGGCGACACTGGGTATCACTGGGAGAACCTTTTTTACCCCAAGATGATCGTTTTTCTCTGCACCTATGGCTGTGGAAAGGGGGTCCCCACTGGAACGACTCGGTCTGGAGGAGCCTCTGCCCCGATCCCTCGCACCTGCAGACACATTGTTTCCCCGGGGCTTCTCCTAATTTATTTATTGACTCATTATTTCTAGGGGCTGGGGTGGCACGGGAGGCACCGCAGGAGCAGGTATGACTCCGGTGTCCGGCCCCATGTCCTCACGCACCGCAGCCCGGGCGTCTGGTGGCCCCGGGCAGCCGTGAGGGGCAGGGAGCGCCCGGGAGGCCCTGGGACCGCTCCGGAGCTGCCGGGGCGTCCCCGAGCTCCCTTGGGGTGCCGGCTGCTGCGGCAGCAACCGCCCCCTCCTCTTCTTTCTCCTCCTCCTCCCCGCTCCGTTAGGAAGGCGATGAGGCGGCGCGGGGGGCGGTGGGAGTCCGGCCGGGCTGACGCCAGGGCGGGTGGTCCCGGGGAGGGAGGGAGAGCGGGGGCTGTCCCACTGCGGCTGGAGAGGGGCAGCCAGAAGGGCCGTGGCTGTTTGGGACTGGACGGGAATAGCAAAGTCCTGACAAAGGCTGGCTCTAGGGGAGGCTGGAAGCAGAAACCTGCCCGGCGTCCGCCCGCAGAGCTGCCCCCATCGGCCCCCTCCGGAGCCTGTTCAGAGCCGAGCCTGTTCACAGCCTTTGCCCGTTCACAGCCTT